CTCGCCTCGCCTCGCCTCGCCTCGCCTTCTTGCCTTGCCTTCTCGCCTTCTCGCCTTCTCGCCTTCTCTTCCCGTCTTCTCACCTTCTCACCTCGTCGTTCTCGCCTTCCTCGCCGTCCTCGCCGTCCTCGCCGTTCTCGCCTTCCCCACATGCGCCAGTCATCTTGATGTGAGCTCCCTTCAGACCCGGTCGTAATCACCGCTCCACGGCCACGCCTCACCTCGGTTCGGATATCTTATTGTGCTCCACACTCAACCCGTTTGGATTATGTACCTCCCACATTTGGCGACACTGGAATTTACACCGCAGCACTCGTGAAACCAAGACTATGGGTAAGCCTTGAGCAAATGTCTTCCTCTCTGCCTTTCTCCCCACAAAATCTCTCTCTCTCTCTCATTATTTCATTTGATTTTTGCATTTATCCGCCACACCAAAGAAACCCTCTTGACGAGTCCCTTTGCAATCCATCTGGTTCAATCCAGTTTCCATGTTCCGACTTTGCCGCCAGGCCACCCTTGCTCGTGTCCGGACTAAGAATCAGTTCGCTTGCTGGTTGTTTGTGCGTCGAGACGCCATCAGTCGCAGAATTGTCCTCCAAACCCAGACTGATCCGGCTCCCGAGTGCTGTTTGCTCGTCCTCCCTGCATATTACTTGTTGGCGTGGCAACCATTTTTCTGTAGGCTGTTGTGTGTATGTGTGTGTTGACGTCACTTGAATTATCAAGAGTGGAGATACAGGCGAGAGGCTTTCTTACGCTTGGTACTATTGCCACACGATTTGCCGGTCCACATCTCCTAATCGCAGATACAGCTTGGCCAGAAATAATCGAACTGGGCGTCTGGCCTGGTGTTGACTGGTGGCGTCTCGACAGCCTACAGTTGTCACCCGCCCTCGGCTAGCCGAGCTACCTCACAACCGGTTGTGAACATGCCAGTCGTGTGAACCCAACAGCCTAGAGACCGACTGGTATGTGGTCACTGGGGTTGCCGAGGCTGCCTCTTTCCTTAAGCGTAATCCTCCTCATAGTCTACAGTACGGCTTATAACTACCGCCTGGGGTTGTTGTCGAAACTGAAGTCCTCTCCAGCCGGGATGAGAACACATTTTGAGAAGACAGTGTGAAATTCAACTGAAAACATCAGCTCTATTCATATCATTGTGGGAAAATTCAACTAACAGGCCTGCATCACCTTAAGCGAAATAGTGTGAACACAACTGATATTATGAAGATAAACTGGGTTTCGAACAATTCCTTGATGAACTATTGTGGCATGATTCTCCATTTCAAAGGGAACATTGGTACGAAGGAATTCATGATGTGGTCTCACCGAGAACCGAAGGAGGATCGCCGCGTAGGGAAGACTGTTGAATCGTGCCAAGTCCTCGGCTCACCGCCATGCGACCCCGATCTCTGACAGACGAAAGCTTAGCACGTATTGTGCAGGACGGTGAGCCGAGGAATGCTCCGCACAATTCAGCAGTCTTCCCTGCGTGGCAATCCTTTTATTCGGTTTCCGGTGCGACCACATCACGAAT